TCCTCAATGCACTATAAGGACTGCCAAGCTCTTACACCAGGCTTTGAGGGGCTTCTGTGCCTGGCCACAGCTGTAGCAAACCAACCCATTTGGCACATGGAATTCAGGAGAAGGGGAAGCCCCTTTCTCCTCATCCATGCTGTTCCGACCAAGGCTGGAAACCTGCTCTGTGTTCTTTAACTAGAGCCTGGAAGATGGAGACACACATACTGCAGACTGCCAAGGAAGAGCTCTTAGACCGAGGCATATCTCCCCAAAGTCTTTGCACTCCCTGGCATGGAGGGATCCCCGAGCATCCTCATAAGATGCCTTTCCCTTGTCTACGCTGTGGTGTGTGGACCCCTATGGTCCCTTTAGGAAGGTGAGGGTACTGGAAGAACGGACGGAGTCTGTTCAGTCAGATGGGCTGTGAACTTCAGAACAGGCAGTCACAGTTGGTCTTTTCCAGCCCCAGAGAGCCGTCCCTCCATGAGGTACTTCTTTGTTGTGCTGCAGCACCCGCCAAGGGTTAAAGTTTTCTGGAACGGGAGGAAAGGGCCACTGCCCTTCAGGAGCAGTCAGAAATCTGCAGTGGGGTTCATGTCAAGCTCAAGCTCTATCTTGTTATCTGCCACCAGAAGTGTTTAGGACTTGTGATTCAGGAATGAACGATGTCTCCCATAGCACCCACAAAAAAAAAAAAAAAGGGTAACTTTTCTCTTGAGGGCATGGGGGCTAGGAGAAAGAAAAGGGTCCCTCGGCCTCAGCGCCCTGAGGACACAGCGCAGTGTCCCAGCAGATTCATATGCTTCCTGGTCCTTTTGCTGTCAAGGAACTGACTAGCTGCAGGAGGAGTCCCAGTCTATTCCACCCTTCCTTTCTTTTATTAGATGATTAGTACTGAGTGTTGATACTCAACTTACCCCTGGGACAGGGAGGAAACAAAACCAAAATATACCCCTGAAAATGAAGCAGACCCAGTTCCGTGCTCTATCTGCAAACCTGACCTTTAAACAGATCACACCCCAACTCCTCTCCCACCCCACCCCCAAAAGTCCTGACCACGCCAGCGTCCCGAGGATGGAACAAGCTGGCCCTGCCATGCTTCCCCCAGTGGGTAGGAGGAGGTAGGAGTCCCACTCTCCACCTGCCCCAACAATGAATTTGCTCATCACAACAAGGCACCTTTCCCCAGGAGGAAAGCAGGAGACATGGAAGCTTGGTCCTGATCTGGTGAGCAGGGTCACTAGAGGAGGGACAAATGCAGGGTGCGAGGCTCTCCTGCCAAGACAGAGTCCGATCACCAGGTCCAGAGACGAGATGCATAGATGGAGGTGAGCTGGGGATGCTTGGAGTCTAGGGGTCGGGTGCACTGGAGACACGTCAGGAGCTCTCATGCAGGTTTCAGGGGAATGGAAGGGCCGTGTGAGCCGAGGAGAAGGTCCATCCTTTTCCTGAAGAACAAGAGCGAGCGAGCGAGCGAGGCTTCACCTGAGAATGGGCGGCAGAGGTGGTGCTCCCCGGGCAGCTGGAAACAAACACACACACCCAGACGCT